TAGTAGAGTGCTGTATGAATGGGTAAATGAGGCACAGATTCTAGTGTAAAGAGCTTTGCGTATCTTGATAAGATAGAAAGGTGCTATATGAGTACAGTCCATTTTCCATTTACTTCCACAAACTTTACATTTTTAAACTGTTTCAATGTCATAATGTAGGCATGTTGTCATCTCTTACGCACACATCCAAACTCAGACTCAAGTTCAAGTTGCTTTAGGTCAAATTATTACCATACCATTTTATTTATAGAGCACTTAAAACAGCTACAAGGCCAACCAAAGTGCTGTACAGACAGAACAACAGACAACACACAATGCAATATACAAAAAGAAGTAAATCAGAATATAGACATAAAAACGATGCAGATAATAAATATGACGACAAACCAGTGTGGAGCGTACAGGTTCAAAACACAGGACCTATACCTGGACCTACCATTCTATGTCCGTCTGTCTCTCCTTCCTGTCCTTTCAACCAGCCGGTCAAAGCAGATGGCCGCTTGTCCTGAGTCTGGATCTGCTGGAGGTTTCTTCCTTTTAAAAGGGAGTTTTCCTTTCCACTGTTGCCACTGTGCTTGCTCAGGATGGGAGACTGCAACGAAGCCAATATTCAACTTGTCTGCTGGATTCCTTAGATAGAGAACTTTACTAATTGGCTTTTATGTATGTGAATGTTTCTGTAAAGTGCCCTGAGACAACTTTGTTGTGATTTGGTGCTATATAAATAAACTGAATTGAATTGAGATTGTCTGGTGTTGAAAACTACTGAATAGTAGTGAGCTTTTAAACGAGATTTGAAAACTGAGAGGGATGGGGCCTGTCTGACAAGCAGAGGTAACTCGTTCCAAAGTCTTGGTCCTGCTACAGAGAAGGCCCTGTCACCTCTGCGCTTAAGATGAGTTCCTGGAACTGTGAGGAGCAACTGGTCCGCTGACCTCAGGGAGCGTGGTGGGACATACAGTTGTAGCAGATCAGAGAGATGGGGGGGAATTGTTCAGCAATATTAATCAGTACAACATTTCTTTTAACTGTTATGCTGACGATACACAGCTTTACATCAGGACTGGAGCATCATCTTCACCATTGTCATCTCCATCTTCACTCGCTGCCCTCTCTACCTGCCTGGAGGAGATAAGGGCATGGATGAATCAGAACTTTCTTCAGTTAAACTGCTCCAAAACTGAGGCCATACTGATTGGCACCCCTCACCAGGTTCAAACATCAACTATAACGACTATTTCCTTTTCTGGACAAGACATCCCCCTCTCCACCTCTGTTACAAATCTTGGAGTAAGAATGGACTTTAATCTTACATTTGAAATATCTCCAAACTTGGCCCATCTCTCACTTTTGTTGATGCAGAGAAACTCGTCCATGCCTTTGTCTCCTCCAAGCTCGACTACTGTAACTCCCTGTTTACTGGAATATGGCAAAAAACCTTCAGAAGCTTCAATATATTCAAAACAGTTCAGCCAGGATTTTATTGAGAGCTCGTAAATTTGAACATATTACACCCATTCTCCATAACCTCCACTGGCTTCCTGTCACCTACAGAATTCAGTACTAAATTTCTCTCATCACAATCAGTGTTTAAACGGAACTTCACCAGTTTATCTGA